CTCTACTAAAAACACAAAAATTAGCCAGGCGTGGTGGCAGGTGCCTATAATCCCAGCTACTTGGGAGGCTGAGGCAGGGGAATCTCCTGAACCCAGGAGGTATAGGTTGCAGTGAGCCGAGATCATGCCACTGCACTGCAGCCCAGGTGACAGTGACAGTCTGTAACAACAACAACAACAACAACTGACAATCTAGAAAGTGGAGCAAGATAGCTAAATATTACCCTCCAGCGACTGACCCCTGTAGGAACATAAAATTGAACAACTATGCGTGCAAGAAAGCACCTTCATAAGAACTGAAAAATCAGATGAGCGATCCGAGTACCTAGTTTTAGCATAATAACAAGAAAAGACACATTGGAGAAGGTAGGAAGGACAGGGCAGTATTGCCTACACCACCCTGCCCCAATACCAAGCAGCACAGTGCAGAGAGAGAATCTGTGTGCTTCAGGGAGGGAGGGAGTGAGTGTGGGACCTTGCATTGTAGCTCAATGCTGGCCTCACCCCAGTGGAACACAGCACCTGGCAGAATTCTGTGGTCCTTGATTCCAGGCCAGTGCCCACAGAGGGACCATTTAGACCCACCCCAGGCCAGAGGAGAATCACTGCCCTGCAGGATGAACCTGAGTCCTGCCCTGCTTCACCACTGGCTAGCTAAAGTGGCCATAGGTCCCAAATAAATTTCAGTGCCAGCAGGGCTAGAGTGACCACAGTCCTTGGGTGAACCCTGTGGTGCTGCACTGGTCTGGGAGGCAGAAGGCTTGGGATGCAACCCAATTTAACACCAGATGCAGGGGCCATAGGAGTGCCCACATCACAACTCTCTCAACTCCAGGTACCGTACCTTAGAGAGAGACTCCTTCTCGGGAGAAGGAGAGAAAAGAGTACAGGCGCCTTTGCACTGGAACCTAGCACAAACCCTGCCACAGCAAAACCACACTGGGAAGAACCCCAAAGATCCTGATTCCAGGCTATTCTGCCAGACAACATTTCTAGGCCGACCCAAGGCTGGCAGACCATAATGCCACTCTGGTATGATGGTCCTGAGTCCTGACTGGCTTCACCACTGGCTGACTAAAGTGACCTGGAGCCTCGAATAAACATCAATGGCAGTAAGGCAGTAGCAGCTGCAGGCCTTGGATGAGCTCTGGTACTGTGCTTGTCTGGGCAGCTGTGGGACTTTGGGTGAGACCCAGTATAATGCCAGCTGTGGCGGCCATGAGAGTGCCTGTATCACTCCTCTTTCAACTCCAGCCAGCTCAGTGTGGAGAGAGACTCCGTCTCTATGGGGAAATGGAGGGAAGTGAGTGAGGGACTTTGAGAGCCCAGAGAATTCTCCCTGATTTTCCCCAACTGCATCAGAGCTGGGCATCTAGAAGGTTGCAAGAGACTTGCAGTGTAACTGGACTTAGGATGCTCTGTAGTGCAAAAATGGCTGCAGTGACCACAGGCTTAAGGAACTCAACAGTCAGTCAGTATCCTTTGAATCAATGAAAGGTCCTCTGAAGGATGGGTACAAACAAAGCCCATGTGATGACTGGAATAAATATCTAACTTTTCAATGCCCAGGCACCAGTGAACATTCAGAAGCATTAAGAACATTCAGAAAAATACGACTCTGTCAAATGGATGAAACAAGGCACCATTAGCCAACCCCAGAGATATGAAGATGTGTGACTTTAAGACCGAGAATTCTACAAAAATATAGCTATTTTGAGGAAAACTTCAATAAGACACAGAAAAGGTTGGGCGTGGTGGCTCACACCTGTAATCCCAGCACTTTGGGAAGCCAAGATGGGCAGATCACTTGACATCAGGAGTTCAAGACCAGCCTGGCCAACATGATGAAACCCCATTTCCACTAAAAATACAAAAATTATCTGGGCATGGTGGCATTTGCCTGTAATCCCATATACTTGGGAGGCTGAGGCAGGAGAACTGCTTGAATCTAGGAGGCAGAGGTTGCAGTGAGCCGAGATCATGCCATTGCACTACAGCCTGAGTGACAGAATGAGACCACATCTCAAAAAAAAAAAAAAAAAAAAAAAAAAAAGATGCAGAAAAGCCATTCAGAAATTTATCAGATTAATTTAACAAAAGATTGAAATAATAACAATAACAACATAATAAACACACAGAAATCCTGGGGCTGAAAAACATAATTAAAAACTGAAAAATTTGTCAGAGTGTCTCAATAGCAGAATTGATCTGGCAGAAGAATTGGGCTTGAAGACAGGCTGATGTAGTTTGAATGTTTGTCCCCTCCCAATCTCATGTTGAAATGTGATCCCCAGTGTTGGACATGGGGCCTACTGGGAGGTGTTTGGGTCATGAAGGTGGATCCCTCATAAACAGCTTGGTGCCTTCCCCTCAGTAATGAGTTCTTGCTCTTTTAGTTCACACCGGAGCTGGTTGTTCAAGAGCATGGAACTCCTCCCATCACTCCTTCTTGCTCCATCTCTGATCACACAACACACTGGCTCCCCTTGCCTTCTGCCATGAGGAAAAGTCCACCAGAGGCAGATGCTGGCACCATGCTTCCTGTACAGCCTGCATAACTGTGAGCCAAATAAACCTCTTTTATTTATAAATTTGGGAAGCCAAGATGGGCAGATCACTTGATGTCAGGAGTTTGAGACCAGCCTGGCCAACATGTTGAAACCCCATTTCCACTAAAAATACAAAAATTATCCGGGCATGGTGGCATGTGCCTGTAATCCCATATACTTGGGAGGCTGAGGCAGGAGAACTGCCTCAGGATACCAGCCTCAGGTGTCCCTTTATGGCAACACAAAAGGGACTAATACTTAGGCCATTTAAAAATATACAGTCAGAGGGGAAAATAAAAAAGAACGCAGAACACTTATGAAATCAAGAAAGGGCAAATCTAAGGAGTCGTGGCCTTAAAGAAGGAGTAGAGAAAAAGATAGGAGTAGAAGGTTTATTTGAAGAAGTAATTACAGAAACCTTTTCAAACCTAGAGAAAGATAAGAATACTAAGGTACAAGAAGATCAAAGATCACCAGGAATATCCAACCCAAGTAAAACTACCCCAATTTATCAAATAATCAAGCTCTCAAATGTAAAGGACAAAGAAAGGATTATAAAAGAAGCAAGATAAAATAATCAAATAACATATAAAAAGGCTCTGATACATCTGGCAGCAGACTTCTCAGTGGAAACTTTATAGGCCGGGAGGGAGTTGGATGACATATTTAAAGTGCTAAAGGAAAAAAAAAACAAAAAACAAAAAACTCTTCCAACCAAGAATGCTCTACTCAGCAAAGCTATCCTTCAAACCTGAAAAAGAAATACTTTCCCAGACAAACAAAAGCAGAGAAAATTCATACCCACCAGAACTGTCTTACAAGAAAGACTGAAAAGAAGTCTTCAATCTGAAAGAAAAGGGTGCTAATGTGCAACAAGAAATTATCCGAAGGTATGAAACTTACTGGATAAACACTATAGGCATTTCTATCAAGGCCGTGAACAAGGTAAGAATGCCCACTCACTCCACTACTATTAAACATTATCCTGGATATATCAGTCAATGCAATTAGCCAAGAGACATCAATGAGATGCATAAAAATTGGTAGAGAAGAAGAAAACCATTTCTATTTATCAGATGATAATATGGCATATCTGGAAAACCCTAAATAATCAGTGATAAAGCTAACTCAAACAAGAAAATAATTCAGTAAGATAGCAGGACAAAATTAACCTATAGAAATCAAAGCATTCATATAAAAGACCAGTTAAAGTACACAATGATAGACAAAATCTTGCTTCTAATAGCAAGACGGTAAACTGAATACTTAGGAATAAGCTTATCATGAGAGTATAACACCTATGCAAGGAAGACTTAAAAATATTCTTGAAAGATAGGAAATGACATTGAACAAATGGAAAGACATTACTTATTCTTAGATAGATCCACTCAACATTGTAGAAGTTTCAGTTATTTTCTAAATTCCTTTACAAATGTAATGCAATCCCAATAAAAATATAAACAAACGCAGGGAAAGGAAATTAGACATATTACCAAAAATATAATCAGGGAAACATGGAAAAAGAAAAGCTTAAAAGAACTAAAAGAGGGACATGTGTCCCGGAGGTTAAAATACACTCTGAATAACACACTTTGGTGCTGGCCCTTTAGTAGAGGACTGTGCTGCATGGCCCAGACAGGACAGTCACACACAGAAAAACTCCGTGTATAATACGTGTGGCTTTGCAAATCACGGGACAAAGATGGACTTTTAAAAAATGGTTCAGGAATAACTGGGTAGCCATTCGTAAAAAGATAAAATTAAGAACACCTCACACCACGCTCAGAGGTAAACTCCAAATGGATCCAAGAGCTAACGAAGCAGATGAAGTCCTATAAATACCAGAGGAAAGCAAACTCCTCTTTAGACTCAGTGTGGACAAAGACTTTCGAACTCAGAAAGTCAAAGCTAAAGGCGGCCAGAGATTGGTAATTTTGGCTACACAAAAATTGACATTTTTTTATATGAAAAATTATAAACACAGTCAAAAGTCAATTAACAAACCCCAACAATTTTCTATCTATATATCATCTATCTATCTATCTATCTATCTATCTATCTATCTATCTATCTATCTATCATCTATCATCTATCTATCTATCATCTATCATCTACCTATCTATATATCAAAGTTTGTTTTTAAAATATAAACAGCTTTGAGAAAATGGGGCTAAAAGCCAAAAACCTAAAGGAAAATGGGAAATTGTAATGAAAGCAACATTTACAAAAGTGATATAGAAATGGCCCTTAAACATATGAGATGTTTAAACTCACTCATAATGCGACAATTGCAAACAAAAGCAATACTGAAATACCCCTTCTCACCATGATGCTGGTGGAAACCTAATGGTATAATAGGCATCGTGGTGAGGCAGGAGGGAGAGAGTCACCTCACACACTCGTGCCTCCATCTCTCCCATAGAGCTCTCAGTGTGGGCAAGGCACATTTACCTTTACTGGAAACTCTCTTCTCACTGCCAGGAGACACCTGTGGGCCACTGTCATTCTCAGAAGGATCGCCGTGGAGATTCGCATTAGCACTGGCTTCTTTAATGACAAATATGGAAAAAACGGGAAAAATGTTCTTGATTACACACTTACAAGCATTTTGGTCATTTATTTAAAAATGCTAAGTTGAAATGCTAATATCATTTTCAAGTTTTATTTGAAAATATGTTTTGGAAACTCAATATGTGAATACAGAGCCAGGCCTCATCTGACTATTAAAACTGCATATTCACTCCTCCACACGTCCTTTGACCCAACATCTTAGCAGGGTCAATGCTAAGAACTGACCCTGGAGATAATTCCCGAGAATATGAAAATACCTGTGCTGCAGGCTTGCTGCTGTGTTTGACGTGGCAAAATATTGCAAACAATGGAAAAGACCATACAAAAGATAATGGCTGCAGAACTGGGGTAGGAAGAAAGGAGGGTGGGCAGGAAAGGAGGATTTGCACGGATCCATGATTCGCACGAATGTGTTTCCTAGCTCTGTCTGTGGAGAGGGCCCGGAAGCAACGCTGTGCCATTGAACTTAACAAGCACACAGTTCTTGGCTCACGATCAGTAACGATGTTAGTGTTTTATAACCCACAGACTATAGTAAATCCCTAGGAGCCCATGTAGACAGTAATAAGCAACTGAATACATAAACAAACAGGGGAGGAGGGGCAGCTCCTTCTTAAGGTAGAATCCCAATTAATAAATGGAGAAACAATGGCAGAAAGAGTAACTTGCCAGACTGACCATCAGGCAGACAAATTTGGAAGGATTCATGTTAATTTTAAATAAAATCTTGTTTAAGACCTGAAAAAATCTAGTTCAATCCTTCCCAACTCCAGAGTCTGTCTTATTGGGAGGACCGTTTGGGGTAATGGATTGGGATGCAGATTCCTGGGCTCCTACAGAAATGCTTTGGCTCCTGGCACACCATCAGATACTGGAGCTGTGACCTGGTCCTGTATGTGGGGAACAGCACAGATGTCCTACGTGTGTGTCCTGGTGATATGGTTTGGCTCTGTGTCCCCAGCCAAATCTCATGTCTAAATGTAATCCCCAGTGTCGGGAGAGGGACCTGGTGGGAGATGATTGGATCATGGGGGCAGAGTTCCTCCTTGCTGTTCTCATGATAGTGAGTCCTCACGAGGTCTGGTTGTTTCTAGGTGTGTAGCACCTCCCCCTTCACTCTCTCCTGTCTCCATGTGAAGATGTGCTTGCTTCCCCTATGCTCTTCTGCCATGATTGTAAGTTTCCTGAGGGCTCCCAGCCATGCCTCATGCACAGCCTGCAGAACCATGAACCAATTAAACCTCTTTTCTTTATAAATTACTCAGCCTCGGGTAGTTCGTTATAGCAGTGTGAGAATGGACTCATACACCTGGGTATATACATGTGCCTTTTCTGGTTTTGAATCTCCAGGGTAAAGAGGAGGTATTTTGCCCCTCTGTGGCGTCCAAGGGTCTTATCCTCTTAGCTTTTGCACACTGATTTTTTCCCAGCAGACTCATCTGTTGGAGGGAGGCTTTTCCCTACTTCTGGGGGAACCCTCTGGGGGCACTCTGGCTCTTCCTGCACCTGCCCTGGGAAGGAGAAGTAACTTAGCTGAAGCTTTGGGAGAGGGGGCCAGGTATTGTGGCAGCACCTACCTCCCTGTCTTGGCATCTGCCCGCCCATGAGACACTTCTCTGCTGTGCTTCCCTGGGCTGTGGTTTTTCCAGGGTCGGCCCCACAGCAGCGGTGGGGAAACTGGGGGTCCCTCAGTCCCGACAGGGACTGGGAGATCTGCCCAACCGGGGGAAGCAGGCACATTCTTCCACCAAGGGTTTATCCTCCATGAAGGAGATGTTTCCGCCTGTGTCTGCCTGCCTTCTACCTCTCCCGTTACAGCTGGACTTGGGAAGGGGTAATTGCTGGGTTGCATTTACCATCACTGGAAACTTTGTCCTCAGTGCCAGAAGAGAATTGTAAATTCTCTAATAATTCATGATAATTCTCAGAACCACCAGCTTGATAATTCTCATCAATACCAGCATCTTCAATGAAGAACATGGAAAAAAATGGGGAAAAGTTTTCGTGATTACACAGGTATAAACATTTTTGGCCCATGCTTTATTTTAAAATGTAGGGATGGGAGGCTAATATGATTTGCAAGCTCTATTTGGACATGCGCGTTGGCAAGTGAATGTGTAAACAGAGTCAGGTGTCCTCTGACTCCCTTGAACCAGCAGTGTGGACCTTGGCAGATGGCAGGTGAACCAATCCTAGGAACTGGAATTTACATCTGGATGCAAGATTTCAAGAGAGTGCTGAACTTTCCTGCTGCTGAATACATTTCATGCACTGCGTGGGGATTTCTGATTCCCAGTTCTCTCCTTGGCAACTGTGGATTTAGTACTCTGTCTTGGTTCTAAATGTGCTGTTTTATTTACTTGCATATGTCTTTGCCATGTGAAGCTGCACTTGGGGAAGGCACATTCTTTGTGTTTGTTCATGACTCACTGTGTGGCCTTGGGCAAGTCATTTGCTAGACCTTGGTTTTACCTTCTGTCAAATGGGGTAATGACAACTGCCCTGCTCTCTCAGAAGCCTTAGGTGAGCGTGAAGTGAGAGCGTGGGCGTGTGTGGGAGGAACTGGAAACTGCTGGTTAGTGCACAGTTCTCATGTTCCTGTGCCCTGCGTTCCTGCAGTGGCTCCCAAGGGCGAGAACGTGCCTGAACCTGCACTCCAGAGATCCCAGAGTAAAGGGAATCATCCCTGTCAGTCTAGGGTTGACTTCCTCTGTCTCGGGAAGCTGTAGAAACGGTTTTAGACACCATATTGTTCACATCTCCATGTGCCCTTGCCCCGGAAATAGCTGGTCTTAATGTTCAAATAGTAGGTCATGTACTCAATAGCACAGAGCTCCAGGAATCAGTGCGATTAGTGGGTTAGAAAGGGGTGTGCTCGCGGTTTTCCTTACGTATTGTTGACAATGTTGTTGCTGTGCTTGGCATTTCAGTCCATGATGTTTTATTCAGATCCAAAATCTCCTGGACTAGAATTTCATCTTGGGAGAAGCACACGAGAGCACGTTAGAGCTGGCCCTGCAGGGCTGGCCCTTGTGCTCCTGTCCCCTAAGGCCATCTGTGCACACAGTGAATGGGAAACAGGAACTCCGGGACCCCAGGGGATGTGGGACTTGACTTTGGAAAGAACCTTCTCTGGCTGGGCAGGCCGCTGCCTCCTCAATAACTTCAGAAAAACTGAGACCACGGGGACGTTTTGGACCCTGAACATTGCCCCCCAAAGGTACAAGGCTGGACGCTTGGCCCACATGTGGTCCTAAGTCTCCTTCCTGCCCTGGGTCCCTCTGTCCCATCCCTGAGGCTCTCCCGAAGCTGCCCTCCGCGTGTGAGCGAACGTCGCTCCTGATCTCTGAGTCAACGCGGCCTCATTTTCTTCTTTTACGTCCCTATGAGTCCTCCTGGGGAGCTTTTACCATGAGAGCCCTGAGCTTTGTGTGTGACAGACCCAGAAAGAACACACGGGCTCTGCTCCCACCAGAATGTGATCTCGGACAAGCGTCCTCACGGCTCTGACCTTCGGTTTTCTGTCTGTAAAACAGGGGTTTGTATTTGCCTGTGGGCTTTTCTGAGGGTCCAGTAAAGCAGTGTATGCAGAAGGCGCTCAGCATGAAGCCTGGGCCATGGTCAGGTGTTGCAGCAACTGACAGTCACCGCTGTCTCTGCAGCACAGTCGCCAGGCCAGGCTGCAGTGCTGGGCTGGGCAGTGGGTCCTGGTTTGCCGGGCCCTCCAGGTTTAGCACAGAAAGTTCCTTAACGAGGAGCTCCTCAGTCCTAGGCAAAGCGGGCATCTGGTCACCCCAGGACCAGCTCATGCGGAATTCGAGGGTAAAGGGGAAGAGGCTGAAAATGCCACTGGAAATGAAGATGCTACCAACACACCCGAGAAAAATGCTTCGTCCTGGGCTCTCGGTGTCTCGCCCAGCAGCCGCACTCTCCCTCTGCCTTGCTCACAGCGCTGGGTTTTGGCAATGTGTGCCCCCAGTGAGGCCCCTGCAGCGGGGTGGGCTATAGCCCTGTAAGGTCGGCAAGAGTCTACCAGCTCTGTGAGGAATTTGCTCCTCCTGATAAAAGGGGAACCAATGTCCAGGCCTGCACCCCCACCTCCTGCCCTGGGAGTGGACGAGGTGTCTGGCACTGTGGACACCATCCTTGATCATGAGGCATGAGCTAGAGGAGAGGCCAGGACAACCTCAGGGACATGCCCTCGTGTTGTGGAACTGCCAGACCAGAGGCGGCGCCACCTCCCTCTTAGCTTTGGGTGCCCCAAGATCCCAGCCAAGTGACTGGGTGCTACCACTCAGGCTCTGTCCGCTGGGGCCAGTGATTGGACAGAAGCACCGATCTTAGGAACTCCAGTTCCTAAATAGTCATGGTGTCCAGTGAGATAGGGGTCTTGGAGAAGAGTGGATACGCATTTGAATGGCAAGCATTTACTGGGCACTCATCTGAACCAGACACTGCCCAGCCAGCCATGTCCAGGAGGCAGCATTCTACAGCCGTGACCAGGCACAGCAGGTCAGCAGCATCCACCAAGGGCAGATGGACCCCCAGGGCAGATGGGTTCTCAGGGCAAATGGGGGTAGGCAGAGGATGGGACTCAGCTGACCAGCCCAAGAAGTGGGCCTTCCTGGGGCACTGTCTGAACTTCTGGGCTGACCTTGGCTTCAGTTACCCCATGTTGACCAGGAGGGTCTCCATCTCTTAACCTCGTGATCTGCCTGCTTTGGGCTCATCTATGTCTTTTTAATGTGGCCACTAGACAATGAAAACAATAACTACGGCTTGTGCTGTGTTTCTATTGGATGGCCCTGGCCCAGGCCAGCGGTTGTCAGCCAGCTGTATTTTAGCATCACCTGCAGAGCTCTAGAGAAGCACAGAGGCACCAGGCCCAGCCAAACCAGCACGGTCTGCATCCCCGCGGTGAGGCCAGGCGGTCCGTGGTTTCCACCGTCTTCCCAGGGGGCTGGCAGGGCTGAGGCGGTGGAGGAGGGCACGGCTCAGCCACGGGGCCTCTCAGGTGCAAGGAATCAGCGGCATCAGGTTGAATGTGGCGCTGGTGCCGGAGGGCTGGGCCCGGCTTGCCGCTGGGCGTTTCTAACAAGCTCCCAGGTGATGCAGAGGCTGCGGGTCCTCGGACCTCACTTTGAGAAGCAAGGCTCCCAGGCACTTTTTAGGTGTAATGGTCTAAAATTCTGTCTGCCTTACTTTCTTGAGAGTTTGACTCTTAGATGTCAGCACTAAATCTATGGGCCACGGGAATGGGATTCTAGCCTCAAACCAATCAGTGCCCTCCACTGTCTGCAACTTGTACCAGGTTATCTGGGAAACAGCCACAGACAACCATCCAGCCCCCTTCATATACAGGCCAGAGGTTGATAGGAGGGACTTCCTTACCTAATAATTCAGGCACATCCTCATGTTTTGAACTGAATGGTATTTCAGTAGTTGAACCTAGGAGGAAATAAAAGCCCTATAGTTTAACAATGTTCATTGAATTTGCATTTTTTTCTCTTTAAATGGATATGGTTTTGTGGGTGCCCACCAGCCCCCGCTAGAGGAAGGAGTCCTGCCCAAGTTCCAGGCTCTTCTGTGGGCGATGAGAGATGGCCCCAGGAAAGTTCTCTGGGACTTGGGTTTCATGTCTGGAAAATGTGGAGAAACAGCCACCTCCGGGGTGGCTGTGAGGATGGAGGACAATTGCCCAGGAGCTCTGAGCTGAGCCTGCCCTCCTGGTCCCTGGAAGAAGCCCTTGAGAGGTCAAGACAACATCTGGGTCCCAAGGATGACTGGGCTCACCCAGCGGCTTTGAGGTGAGCAGAGTAAGACAGCACATCTCCTTTTGTGAAAGCACCACTTTGACCTCCTCCGTGAAAGGCTCCTGCAATGCGTGCACCTGGAGGCTTGGAAACATGTTCTGGGGAAATGGGAAAACAGTGTGTAATGCTGTGGTTCTGTCATGAAGCCCTGGCTTCGTGGCTCTGTTTTAGGGGGGCAGGACTCAGAGAGACGGGCCACTCCTCTTTCTCCTCCTTCAAAAACAAAGTAATTTCAGGGTGGTCCCATTTGCAGGTAAGAGGTGGAGTCATGTGGGTGAAATTCTGAGGTCTGGAATGTGGGTTGTCCACAGCCCCATGGCCTCCTGACCTGTGGCCTCGGCTGCCTGACTGACGGGAGCTGAGTGACCTTGACAGTGGGTGGTGGTTCTGAGCACTGCTTTCTCCTTGGCAGCTCCCACCCAATAGTTCCCAGCTTCTGCCATTCACGGTTTTTCTTTATTGGAGGTGTGGCGTCTCAGCATCCTGCGATGTTGCTTAGGCTCAAGGTCAAGGTCAGCCTCTTCCTGCAGCCCTGAGGTTGGGCTCCGCAGGGTCACACACCTTCCCCTTCTGAGTGCACAGAGCTTTCCAGTGGTGTCTTCTAGGATGTGAAGTTCCAACACTAAACCAATGACAAAGCTGATTTCCAAATGGCTTTAATGACAGACAATCTGCATACCAATCGACTCGTCTGCGCACATGCAGGCTCAGAACAATGCGGGAAAATATGCAAAAAGGTCTGAGATGTGATGACAATTGCTTCCCAGTATGCTGACCTTCGGTAAACGAAACAAACAAAGTACAGTTCTCTTTGGATGAGACATTAATGATCATTAAGAATGGGTACAGCTGCATCGTGCAAGTGCTTTGTTAAAAATATTCTTTTCATTTTGTGTCTGTCCCATAATTATAATGGAAGTATTGTGCAAGTCAGCCAGTAAGCATGTGCAGTAAAATATTTGTGTTTTATAACATCCGTGCGGTTTTTAAAGTGCATTGTCAAGTGGAGTGGCTTTGCCATAGTCTTCCTGTGTCACCTCTGACTTCAGTCTCACGGTTTTAAGGTGCTGCACGCCGTGTAGTCATGAGAACCTCCTGCTCGTTCTTGATATTTACATCACGCACACGCTGGCCTCCGTGGAAGGGTTCCCTGTGGAGTTCTGAGATTTCACTCTGGTTAATTTGGGGAAAACAGCACCGCACCCTTCTCCATCACTAGGACCACACTGACCGCTCTCCTCTCTCCCTCAAGGTCCAATGTCTCAAGAAAGCCACATAACATGGTCAACTCAATTTCTGAGGCAAACGCCTAAAGTGCCCACTGAGTCATTAAGGCCCACGGAGACCAAGGAAGCCCAGTGTTCCCCATGAGACAGTGATTTAGAAATGATCCCTTATTTGGTCTTCAAGCTGGGGAAGACCTTGGTCACCTGTTTCAACTGTCTGGATGAGGAAATCAGATCTTAGGATGTGAGGACTAAACTCTGACCTTTTTCCCCTCTTACCCATTCCTTACACAATTGTGACCAGAATGCTTTCCTAAGGAGTAAGAAGAAGCCAGCTCTGGAAAACAAGAAACAAAGGACCCATTCCTTTGTCTTCTTGAGCCAATCATCCAAGTCTGTGACTGGACTCTTCTCCCTTTTGTGGTTTAAACAGTGCAGTGCCCCCAGCACTCCTTCCTGATGAGAGACCACCGACCATGGAGTGGCTCTGGCCAGTCCATGTAGGACACGCAGTGAAGGTTTCCGGTCCTCTGCTTCACCTTTGGATGTCAGAGGCTGATATGGTTTGGATTTATGTCCCCACTCAAATCTGAGGTTGAACTGCAATTCCCAGTGTTGGAGGAGGAGCCTGGTGGGAGCTGACTGAATCACGGGGGCTGACGTCCCCCTTGCTGTTCTCATGATAGTGAGTGAGTTCTCCTGAGATCTGGTTGTTTACAAGTGTGTAGCATCTCCCCACTCTATCTCTTCTTCCTGCTGGCCATGAAGATGCACCTGCTTCCCCTTTGCCTTCTGCCATGGTTGTAAGTTTCCAGAGGCCTCCCCAGAAGCAGAAGCCTGTACAGTTCACAGAACAGTGAACTAATTAAACTTCTTTTCTTCATAAATTACCCAGTCTCAGGTATGTCTTTATAGCAGTGCAAGAACTGACTAACAGAGAGGGCCAAAAACGCTGCTCTCGGGTCATGCTAACACTACCATGCGACCACTGCCATTTTTTGAACATGTAACCCATGAAAAGGCATGGAGCTCAATTGCACATGGGCATGGCTCTTCCGTTTATTGAAACACCTTCTAAAACCCTCCTGACCCTCCCCACTGTGGTGCTGGCTCTGCTCCTCTCCTTTTTGCCATGACTTTGCAAGGACCATACAGAGTGGCCATGGCCCAGATCTCCCCAGACTGGCTCCCAGAGTTCTCCCCTCTCCGTAGTCTCTGCCCCCGAGTTCTCCTCACACCATCCCATCTCCCTTAGCCCCCTTGCACCTTGCATGTGTCCCCCTGGGCCTCCACTCCTGCCCCCACCCCCATTACACCTTTCTCTTCCCACTCAGCCCCTTGACTCCCAACAGTCCCTGGAGCTTTATGGACCCAGACATCTCCAGATCAACTACCTGATCTGAGGCTGAGAAGGAAAAAGACCAACTGGAAGCAGATGTGACATTTTACCTACTCAGTGAAGGCTTTGACAACTCCAGATGGCTGCCCCAGTCACAGCCTCTGTAAGATTAAATAATATCAGCGGAAAAGAAAGGCTTGAGACTCCCCTTCACAAAGGGTGGTTAAGAAAGAAAAATCTTTAGCCCTTATTGAGTGGGTAACCTCAACATATCCCGTTTTTGTCAGAAACATAATTCAGATAAAAATATAGAGTGGAAATAAACCAGTGAGTTTTGTGTTACTGTGTTTCCGGACTCATGGCTAAAATTTAAGAACGAAGCCGTGCAATCACTGTTTTCCTGTGTCTGTCTGTATGTGTACGTACCTATGTTACATATATGTGATATTTTTCTACCTCTGGATGGTACTGCCAAAGTAATTATAAAATTCCTTGAAGGAGTTCTATTCAAATTGGCTTAGAGAAAAAATATGTGCTTGATTAAATATTCCTAGGACTCCCAGAAACAGAAGAACTAACCCAAATGTTTTTCAAGTTTACTTTACTAGGATGGTTGAGATATTAAGCTAGTTTGAGATTGTTTGTTAAATAAAGACAGTATGTCTTTGGAATTTTCAGCTATAGATATAATGAGGACATAATTTTATTCTGCTTGGGTTACTAGCCAAATAAACTTAAAAATAGTTAACAGGGAAATAACTGGAGATGATGGTAGCTTTATTTGGTGTCGTAGTGAAACCACCTTTGTAAAATTATGACTGAGACAGTGAAAGAGATTTAACAGGCACCATCTTGCTTTTAACCTCCAAGCTGTCCTTGTTTATTCCTGGGCATAGGCTGAACTAACTATGGGAGAAGGTTTATAGTTTATAGTATAAATAAAGACGGTAACAGCCCTTTCCCAAAGCAAACCTCCTTCTTGCTTGGGGACTAGATTGCCTTTGTAAGACTAACATTAGCCATAAGATTAGAAATTACAGTTTAGGAGTCATGCAGCTGGAGGCTACAAGATTCTGACCCTCCCTAAACTGCTCCTAAGATCAGTGCTTGAGAGATTTTGCAGACCCTGCACTTGATGGCTCCACACAGATGGATAAAGTGGCTCATCTGATCTTGTGGCACCCGCCCAGGAACTGACTCAGTACAAGAAGACAGCTTTGACTCCTTATGATTTCATCCCTGACCAGTCAGCACTCCTGGCTCACTGGCTTCCCCCCACCCACCAAGTTGTTCTTAAAAACTCTGTTTCCCGAATGCTCGGGGAGACTGATTTGAGTGATAATGAAACTCTGGTCTCCCGCACAGCCGGCTCTGCGTGGATTACTCTTTCTCTATTGCAATTCCCCTGTCTTGATGAATTGGCTCTGCCTGGGCAGGGGGCAGGTAAACCCCTTGGGAAGTTACACAATAGTGTGTCTGCCTTTTTTGGAGAGGGGACAGGGTCTCATTCTGTCAACCAGGCTGGAGTGCAGGGGCGTGATCATCGCTCACTGCAGCCTCGACCTCCTGGGCTCAGGTGATGCTCCCATCTGAGCCTCCCAAGTAGCCAGAACTAAAGGCACGTGCCACCATGCCCTGCTAATTTCTGCATTTTTTTTTTTTTTGGTAGAGATGGGGTTTCACCATGTTTCCCAGGCTGGTTTTAAATTCCTGGACTCAAGTGATCCACCAGCCTTAACCTCTCAAAGTGCTGGGATTAGAGGTGTGAGCCACTGCACCCAGCCTGTGTTTGCCTTAGAAAAACAGTTTCTAAACATCTTTTTGGTGACTCATAACCCTGGCATTATGATCAGTTAAGTAAAACAAGAGTTTCATGAATAATTTTTTAAAAAGATAACCTATTGAAACACTCACTACTAAGCACAAGTTTATATACTTTTGACTTTTTATTTTATATGGTACAGAGAGACTAAATGTATTTGAGTGTGTTAACAAAAGTTGTTTTTGCTGCCTTGAAAAATTATGCTGTAGATAAATATATCTCTAAAAATTGTAAGATGGTATAGTTGTACAATTTGCTACTTTGTTACAGAATGCTATATGTGACAGACAATTCCCCACTGTCTACTCCTAGTTTTCTCTGTTGAACATTGAAATCAACATAATCAACATGTGTAATTAAAACTACTAGAAATAATGAGGGTGAAGAACAACTTCCTGTGCAAAGTACAAAGGAAAGTAGAATCTGTTTTTGATAAGAAAGCGTATGTGATATGAAGAATGTGTTTTTGTTGAAGAAAAAGGTGAGTAATTTTGTCCTAAAGTGGTTTAAAGGTAGTTTTTTCAGGAAGAGAAAAAAAAGGACAAAGTGCGTAAATGAGTATGGAAAGATGTGACGAGTCTCTGAGAAAAAAGAGAGCGAGAAACATCTTATGTGGTCAAGTTACACTAAGAGTAAATGAATTTTATGATAAGATGTTATAGATGAGCTTTAGCATCGACAGCGGAGGGATGCAGTACTGGAGTTTGATTTTCTTTCTCTGCTAAAAGGCCAAAGTTTTCTTGAATTATTGGTCTTTTTTTTTTTTTGAGAGTTTGCTCTTGTTGGCTCGGCTGGAGTGCAGTGGCGCAATCTTTGGCTCACTGCAACCTCCACTTCCTGGGTCCGAGTGATTCTCCTGCCTCAGCCTCCCAAGTCGCTGGGATTAGAGGCATGCACCACCACGTGTGGCTAATTCTGTAGAGATGAGGTTTCACCATGTTGGTCAGACTGGTCTTGAAATACTGACCTCAGATTATCCGCCAATGTTGGCCTCCCAAAGTGCTGGGGTTACAGGCGTGAGCCACGGCACCTGTTCTGTTCTTAGTAAGAGATTTTAAGAGGCACTTTTTTCTTACCTGCTGAGTAGTCTTAAAAGGAAACAAAGATTCTGTGTCTTATCAAATATTTCCTGGGTTTCATGTTATCTTTATCATGTTTTTGATTACTTAAGAAAACTGAGTCTCCTCAATATTAAAAGAGTTAAATTGTTTTAAAAACCATGCCACTTCCTATATTTTCTTTAAAAATTCTTTATTGTCATTTAACTTAAATGGATAAGTACAATTTCATAGTAACTTATGATCCTATTTAACCAAATATTCAAATCTTTTGTAATTTTTGACAACTTCATCCAGGTCAAATTCTACATGAAGAATTTTGGCCTCAAACTAATTTTGAGGTTTCCCAGAGGGCCACTAGAAAATCTCACAGGATTTGTTCTTTCACTGGCGAAAAGAGAGACGTTAAACTAATTTGCTTTATTTGATACATAAATTCATAAAAAGCATTGTCAAATAAGAAGGGTTGTTTAACCTTCTTTATATTACATTTATATGTGTATATGTTATAAGTGTTTCAGAAATTGTATAAAATTCCTAGAAATTTTCACTGTCCTTACTGTCCATGATATGTCCTGGTATAGAGTTATGAGCCATAATTTCCATTATTGTCTTGTAATGTTGTATGTCACAGAAACAACCAAATTTCCTTGTCAATTGCAGCATAATGAACTCTCATCAGATTTTTAACCATGGCCATTTTATGCATTTTATGTCTTTTGTCCTTCAAGACAATTATTGTTTTACGCTGATGCTTTTTTGAAAGCTTTTGCAATCAGCTACAATCCAAAAATTCTTTGTTTTCAAGGCGATTTTTAGGTAAGACTCTGCCAAGTGCTCTGAAGTAAGGTTTCTGATGCCTCTAAGATTGCGCCATTAGACCGGACTTTTCCAGAACTGAGGGAGAAATGGACGGATTTGGAAACCTGCTAACCCAAGGTCAAGTAGAACAAGAATTAATTATGTGGGACTTAATGTGGGGACAGTTATATTTTTATGAATTTCCTTTGAAATGTTTCTGGTGTTTTAATGTTTTGTTTTCCAGATTTAAAGAACTCTGCTTGTGGTTTCTCTTAGGCTATGTATAACTGACAACAATTTGGTCATTGCACTTTCATAAACAAAAACGAAGCATTTATATTTTTTGTCCCACTCTAGAATTCGGATATTATGATTTTCAGGACCATATAATTGTTTGCATAAGTTTAATATAAATTGATTCTCCTTTAAGCAGGACATGATTGGAAGCATCGGTCATATTACCAAGGCTTTGACTGGAATGTCATATTTGAGATTGATACATAGGATCAAATGTGACCGGACAGTTTTTAAAAACTGAGGTTGATTTGATGGAGTTGGAGAAACTGACCCACTACCTGGCTCACAGGGTCCCCATCCCACAGGTGAGTGAAGAAGATCTTTTTCTGGCAGATCCAATAATTTTGGGAGCCTCGAGACCTTTGGAAGAGAGAAATTCACCCAAGTCTTTAGGTACCACACGTGAAGTCTGATGGTGAGTTTTTGGCCGGGCTTCCTAGCCTCAAAAAGCGTTTAAAAAATCTAATCTGAGATTCCTTGCACAAAGCTCCAGCGAAGAAAACTCAATTTGTGTGGTCCATTACCATTCTTGCTGCACTCATGTAAATAACCAGACCAACTCTTGTAAGATGTGATATAGTTTTGAGATAAGAATAGCATTACTTTGGTTACCTGGATCAAAAAAAGGGGGTGACTATAGAGCCATAGTTTATGTTTTAATGAAAAATGGTAGCACACTCTTGTGAGTTATAAGCCCGTGTATTCTACTTTTTTTAACCTTTTGATAAACTCCAGCTTACTTTCTACTTTGTTATCTACCTGTAAACTGGACTGGATTCCTCTAGAATCCTTCAATGTCCCCAGGCTAACATTTCCAGTCTTTCTTCTGCCCTCCTGACTGGGTGTTACTGAGAACTAAAGTCTGACAACGCAGGCCTTCCGTGGAACCATCTGGAAAGGCTGAAGCTGGACACATCCACGCTCTGCCCCCAGCATAACCATGACTGTGGCTCTGATGGTCATGATGCCACCAAGGACACGCCCCCTGCAAACTAGGAAATCCATCCTTGCCCCATCGGTTGAAGATACCTTGAGCTCAACATCCAGAAATCTTCTCAACAGACTGCCCTTTGGATTTGGGAACTGCGTTTCCAACTATCTTTGTTTTTCTTCTCTTTTTCATAGACATTCCCCTCATTAAATTCCTGACTACTTGTACCATCCAGCAAATATCCTCCACTAGATGAAAAATGGACTTATCTTGTTCAAAGGGAAAAGGAATGTCTCTTCTTTCTGGAACAAGAGGAGGGAATGAGAAAGCCTTGCTCCTTGACTTGCCTCATGCCAGACTCCGCTGAGTCTTCTCTTCGACTTGGCTTTGACCCTAACTTCTGTCTTTGTCTGCTTTTCCCCATGTTTAGTAGGAATCCTGTGAAGTCCTTTAGTGGAAATCCCCTAGTCTTGGCCTGCTCACCCTTGATATCTGATCAAATTCCTCACCCTCCATCTTTGATTATTTTATCATCTTGGCTTCCTTTCAGGCCTGGCCTCCTGTTTGGCCAAACAAAATATGCACAATAATTGAACCTGAAGGTGACTACATGGAGGTTCATGATATTCTTCCAAGTTAGAAATTTTCCATGATAAAATGTTAATATAAGTAACATATGCAACTCTCTCATGGACGTCTAGATTTTAAAAGGTCTTCAAAGATAGCAGACCTTTGTGTCCTGTTGTAAGGAGAATTAATTTTTATTTAACTTATGCAAATAATTAGATGGTCCTGAAAATCATCATATCCAAATTCTAGAGTAATCAGGTGGGACAAAAATTATAAATGCTTCATTTTTGTTTATGAAAGTCCTCCTGGCCTTTGCTAAATCAGTTTAGCAAAGAATTCTCCTACCTCTTAGCAATGTTCATCCACTGACCCACCCTGACCCTTGGCTACAATTCTCCACTTTCCCTGTATTTGGAGTTGAGCCCACTCCCTGCTCACACCACGGTAGTAGCCCCCTTTGAATAAAGTCTGCCTGCCCATCTTTAACAAGCATCACAAATATTTTTTAACTGGTGTGAGCTGCAAGAAAGGCTTTTGGTAATTGTGCTAGTGTGATTATGACATGGTGGATAATGCTTTCATCTCTTAACAAGAAAATGTTTTACATGAGGTGGTAAGACATCTGGGACATTGCTAAAATACTCCCCAAACAAGAAAAGTGTGTGCATGTGGAGTGGGGTGTGTGTGTGTGTGTGTGTGTAGAAAAAAACAAAATATGCACAATAATTGAACCTGAGGGTGATTACATGAAGGTTCATGATATTCTTCCCAGTTAGAAATTTTCCGTAATAAAAAGTTAAAATAAGTAACATATGCAACTTTCCTATGGGCATCTAGATTTTAAAAGGTCTTCAAAGATAGAAAGACTTTTCAGCTACATTCATTCCCCAAGGAATAAGTGGTAAATTCATGTAGGTTGGGAATAAGTGGAACCCATGGGAGAAGAGGCTGCCGCCCACCTGGTTCAGTTCTCTTTCTGCTGAGCCATCCCTGCACGGCCCTACCTGGAGTCGCAATTCTCGGCCGGAGCTCGGTTTCTTGCCAGCAGCACAGCAGGAGGACAAAGCAGAGGGTCCCTTCTCCCTGGTTCACTGCCATGCTCCCTCCAGCTGAAGGCGAAGGACGTCCTGAAGGTTGGCAGTTTCCCACCCTTGGTCTCCAGGACACTGTGGAATGTCAGGACCTGTGACATCATGACTAGGAAGGGAGCTAGGGTCCTGCCCTGGTGGGGAGGTCATGTCCAGGGACCTGTGACATCACGACCAGGAAGGGAGTTGGCATCTTGCCTGGGGTGGGCAGGGTTTCTATCCAGAGTCTGTGACTGGTTTTAAGGTAACAGAGATCCTCTCCACTCTTTCTTATTGCCTGTTCTGGTGACTTCCTCTGTCCTGAGCACCCTGAGGACTGAAGGGGTAGATACTAATTAGAACTCTAAGTGCCAGTGGCCAAAAACCAACAAAATCTGCTCCCATGGAAAGAGGCAAATTTGAAGGATGCTGGAGAGGTCATTGAGTTACAGGGCAAGTGCCAGAACCAACAGATCCAGAGAATCTAATCACCTCTTAAAGGCCCCTTGAAGAACAGAGCCTTGAAGAACAGAGGCTCATGGCCCCATGTGCCCTCCCATCCTCCTCTGCCCTCAAAATTCCAGGATTGTGAAGAACAGGAGACAGATGACCCAGGTTACAGCCTCCTTTCCCCCACATCTTCTTTCTCAGCATCAGCCCCAATCTCTCCCTGGCAGTGAGACTTTAATCATGAGAGGAGAACATGGTTGCATTTCCATGTTATCATCCTCCCAGCTCAATCTCCTAGACTTTCTAGAGCTTTCTCCATCAGTGCAGTGACAAAACCCCAAAGGAGTCACTCTGGTTGGCTCCCCTGGATCCCACCTCACCCCTGGACTGACTCCTACATCCAGGGCTCGGAGTGGGGCAGCTGGCCTAGACTCTGCCGGTGGTGGGGTCCTGGGTGAACAGCCCTCAGATTCCAGCTCCATGGTGGAGAAGGCTGGTGTTTGTCTGTTCCCACACTGCTATAAAGAACTTCCCTGAGACTGGGTAATTTATAAAGAAAAGAGATTAAATTGACTCACAGTTCTGCATGGCTGGGGAGGCCTCAGGAAACTTACAGTCATGATGGAAGGGGAAGCAGCCGCCTTCTTCACAAGACAGCAGGAGAGAGAGAGTACATGAAGAAGAAGCTGTCAAACACGTATAAAACCATCAGCTCTAGTGAGAACTCACTTCTTATCACAAGAACAGCATGCGGGAATCCACTCCCATGATCACATCGCCTCCCACCGAGTCCTTCCCTCGACAAGTGGGACTGTGAGGATTATAATTCAAGATGATGCTTGGGTGAGGACACAGAGCCAAACCATATCAGCTGGGGTCCTGGACGCACAAGACTGACAATGTCCCCAAGGCCTGGCAGGACCCCAAGGATGGCTGAGCCACCATGGATCTCTGGCTCTTTAATTTTTATTGCTGGTATGGGAATCCACAGCACATTTTTGCTCAGGTTTTCCTCTTGATAGATGCAGTGGTAGCCAATCTACCTCAAGGTGTGGGGAGGATATTTCAGATTTTCAGCGTGTCCATAAAGGCACACTAAGGATGGTTGACATTTGCAGAAACCCAGTGGGTTCCAAGTCCCACTCTGAGTTAATGAATGGTCCAAGTGAGATGCTCGCTTCTATAACCCAGGCTCTTGCTACTCGAAGTGTCATTTTGGGGCTGGTAGCATGGGCCTAAGAGGCTGAATGTACAAACGGACGGCAGCCAGAGCTCCCATGAGAGCACAACCCTGCACCACTGCCTGTCAAATGACACCCACTGCACCAAGGAGGGATGTCTGGCTAAGGCAGGCCAGGGACTTCCACCTCAGGGCGGAGGATGAGGAATTTGAGCAGGGCTGGGGACAAGACCTCGTTGAGAAGAGGAGTCAGAGGAGCCTGGCTGGTTTGGTCGAGGAAGGAGTCATTGTCGAGGCTGCCTGAAGCTCAGTGACTTAATACAGCCCTTGTGTGATTGCTCACAACTTCGTGGGTTGGCTCTGGTGGCTGCTGGCCTAGTGTGGCCTCATGGACATGTCTGGGGCCTCAGGTAGGATGATGGGGCTTGGGATGGCTGAGGCTTCCCTCCATGTGGTCTCTCAGCCTCTAGCAGGCAGCCTGGGCTTGGTCACAGCAGAAAGGAGAGAAAGCCTCGATGCAAACAAGCCTTTTCTTGCACCACATTTGCTAATGTCTCATCGGCTAAATGAGTCAAACTAATCCCAGATGCAGGAGTGGAGGAACAGATTTGAGCACTAAAATATGGTTGTCAGAGGCCGGGCGTGGTGGCTCACGCCTATAATCCCAGCACTTCGGGAGGCCGAGGTGGGCGAATCACGAGGTCAGGAGATCAAGACCATCCTGGCTAACACGGTGAAACCCCGTCTCTACTAAAAATACAAAAAAGTTAGCCGGGCGTGGTGGTGGGCGTCTGTAGTCCCAGCTACTCGGGAGCCTGAGGCAGGATAGTGGCGCAACCTTGGGGGGCGGAGCTTACAGTGAGCTGAAATTGTGCCACTGCACTCCAGCCTGGGCGACAGAGCAAGAATCCATCTCAAAAAAAGAAACCAACACACAATTATATATACATATGTATGTATAGTAGTCAGACCGGCTTAGTTCACAGAGCTCTGCCTGCCTTGTTTCGTAGGTTTGCTAATTGGAAAGAAGAGGCTAGAGTGTCTGGTATGTGTTTTTAATCAGTTGCTTTATGAGATTCGGGTTTGGAGAATCTCTCACCAACCCTTGGGAGGTTGATGGCAAATTTATTTTTCTTATTCTTTGCTGTCTTTTAGCAACAATTTTACACATAATTCCCTTTGCATTTGTATTTGCATGCAACATTAAAACCAGAAGGGAATTTAATAAATTAATCTATTTATACCAGTTTCTTTGAATGGGGACTTTAATTCATTTGCATAACTGTCATAGCAGCAGCATATGACTCCTAGAAGTTTTTTTCTCCATGGTTGCATTTCAGTTGAGAGACTGTCTCTATCATATGCCAATAGAGATTTGTTTCCTGCATCTTCCGGGGAAAGAGGAAAGAACTCTTTATGGCTCCTTTTAAATAAACAGGCTTTCCTTATTTTTATCATTTATTATCACTTATTATTATTATCATTTTAATTTTTGGAAATATAAACATTTTAAAAATTAAAAGAAAAATGCAAGGCCAGGTCCAGTGGCTCACACCTGTTATCCCAGCACTTTGGGAGGCCGAGGTGGGTGGATCTCTTGAGCCTGAGAGTTTAAGACCAGCCTGGGCAACAGAACAAAACGTCATCTCTACAACGAATACAAAAAGTAGCCAGGCATGGTGGTAAATGTCTGCAGTCTCAGCTACTCAGAAGGCTGACCACCTGACCTTGGGGAGGCAGAGGCTGTAGTGAGCTGTGATTATATCACTGCACTCTAGCCTGGGCAACAGAGTGAGACCCCATTTCACACACATACACACACAGAAAAACCAAAACAAAACAAGAAAAATGCAAACATACTTAGTTCCATTGTCCACAATTAACACTGTTAGTATCTTAGAATATTTGCCTTTGATGTTTTTAGCTTTTGAAAAATCATGTTTTTGTTTTTATAAATACTGTAATCATGCTTACTCACTGTAGAGAACTTAAGCGATGAAACTATAAAAAGGTGAAAATTTAAAAATGACCCCAGTTGCCCCGCAGCCATGACCACCATGAACATCAGGTTAACATTGTGGCAGACGCCTCTCCATTTATGTTTACGTGCACAGGCTGCTGAGTGGGTGGGAAGATAGACATGGTGTGAGGAGCTCTTCTGTGGGTGCAAACACCTGCGGGGTGGATGGACATAAGGTCATAAGGTGGGAACAGACCACCTCCCTCCTGCAACAAAGATAATTCATCAAATTTACTCAGATTTAATGGAGGGAAAAAAACCTGAAGCACAACTGAAGGAACCGATGAACGTCCAGTATTTCCTCACTATGAGTCGTTCGTTGCTCAGAGCTCTTTCTAAGGAGAGGAGGGGAGACTCTGGGGAAAAACATAGGTATTTGGAGTCAATGCATTTTTTTAAAACATGTACATGCTTCACTTTTACACAGCAACAGCGAACTTCCTGATCTGAAATACGAGGACGGCTTCGCTCTCCCTTCCTCTCACTTCCCTTCTACTCACTGTGTGCGTGTTTTCTTTTGATTCAGTGCTAATTGGCCATGAACTTCTTATTTCCCCTAAGAAGAGCTCAGGGATGTTCTTCCCCAGGATGTCTTCAGACCTGAGAACTTAGGTTGTTGACTTTAGAATCTAACAGTGACTGGGAGGGAAACAATATTCACGGGTCAATCCTCCTCCCCTAAGAGTTGTTAACCGTTGCAGATCCTGAGTGCTATGTGGAGTGCTCTGTGGGGCACCTGAGATGGACCCCCTCTTGCAGATGATCTGCTTTGGCTGTGTGAAGACCGATGTTTTAAGCAGCTGAATTAGGATTTACCTTGGCATTTCTGTTCTCTGTTAAACTTCCCAGGAAGAAGGTATGTCCTTTTGATCTGCAGACCCAATCTTTATTCACTTCAGGTACTTTTAAATCTCATGTCTTTGAATATGTCATCAATCCATCTCTCTGGTTCTCTACCCTGTGGTACCTGTTTTATTACACTGGACCTTCTCCAGATGGCCCTTAACCATTAGCTGTCTTCCTTAACCATTAGCTTTTCCTTAATTGCTATAACCTGCTTGTCTTCAAAAAAAAAAAAAAAAAAAAAAAAATCTGTATTCACTGTGTTCTTATCTGTGGTAATAATTTCTAGAGGTATTTATTTTGTTTCTTGCTGCTTCTGTCATTATATCATCGCTGTTTATAACATTTTAGGTCCTCAATGTATTTCAATAACTTCATTTTCATCCAATTCTATTTTGTGTGGGTAAAATCTCACCTTTGAGCTTTTCTATAGCTTGCCGGTTATTCCATAGCTTTCTGCCTTTAGAGTTGGTTTTCTTTTGTGTTGTTATTTTGGTGTGTCTTTTGCTTGGTGTTCCTTTATTTTATAGAGATCTGTTTTAGTGTGTTTGCAGAATTGCCATGTTTTTCTTCTCATCTCG